GAGAGAGAGAGAGAGAGAGAAAAGAAAAGAAATGTAAAAAAGAAAAATGGTCGTGCAGTTTGGAAAGGTGAGACACGCATACATATGTAATGTAAGGTATTTTACATCTTGCCATCTTTTTTTCTTTACTTGTGTTTAGTAAAAATCTCTAGTCCTAGGTCACTTTCGTTAATGAGAAAGGCTTAGACCTTAGAATTTTGACTATCGCTTGACTGCGCGATTAAGTATTTTTTTTTATTTTTTTTTTAATGTTTTTTTTTTCTTTTTTTTTTTTTTTTTTTTTTTTTTATATATATATATATATATTCGTTACAAAGTTGGAGGGCAGTTAGAGGGAGAGTGGTAAAGGTGAAGGAGAGTAGCCCTCGATGCGAAATCTGATATATGATAACAATTATTATTATTATTACGACGGTTCTTTTTCTTCTTTTTTATATATATATATATATATGTATGGAAATTCACAAATTGATATAATTTCGTCATTTTTAACAACTAACTTGACCGATAATTCTCGCTTAAAATTTCATTAGAACAATTATTGTTGTTGATCTACAGAATAGAAAAAAAAAAAGAAAAGAAAAAGAACAAAAATAATAATAATAATAATAATAATAATAATTTCAATAAGAATAATAATAATGATAATGATAATGATAATGATAATGATAATGATAATGATAATGATAATGATAATGATAAAAATAATCATGATAATACCAATCTAAATTCTATTAAAAATATTTACGATTTTATTTCTTCATTGTCGTTTAATTTAAAATTATAGAACTTAGTAATCGAATATTAGAAAACAGGGCTTCACCGCATGTGCTTGTGAGTGATAGACTGATAATGAAAAATTTCTATTCAGAAATAAAAAATCTCTGAAGGGCGAGATGTCAAAAAAAAAAAAAAAGGTAAAGAAAAAAAAATCTATAAATAAAATTGAATACACAATATTGTAAATGAAATCACACCTTGTGACTGGCCTAATAACGAAAGTTGCATTTGTTAAACGTGTATATATAAATATATACGTTTTTAATTATGAGATAATACATTAAAGAATATAATACGTTAAACTGGAAATTATAGATTTTTATTATCTGTTCATAATAATGTGGTAAAATTTAATGTTTGACGAAAGTTAAATAAAATTTCAATTTATCGTACATGTAAATAGATAAATATATATATATATATATATATATATATATATATATATATATATATATATGTATATATATATATATATATATATATATATATATAATATCACACATTCTAGAGGTAGTGATTTTGAAATGGGCAGGGTAAGAAAATGAAAATATGTAAATTATATACATTAATATAATGCCTAATTTTTACCATGTTTGTAAGTAGTGTAGCAATAATTCAATTACATATAGTGTGCTATAATGCACAAGTAAATTATTCGTTGGGTCCACATGTAATATTGATAGTACAAAAGTGTTTTAGCTTTATGTACTATTTACCAATGTAATAATATCGATATCGTGGATATATTTGGTTATGTACCTTTCTAAAAAGAAATAAATTATTCTGAGCATGTCAAGTGAAACGATTAGTCGAAAATATTTTGATTAGAATATTAATAAAGTGTAAATCTAGGATAGAATTATTATTTTTTTTTTTCTACTTCGTATTTATAATTATTATTAATTCACATTATTATACGTATCATCCATTTTCTTATCTTATTATTTATTAGAATATAATACTGATAATTCTGATTTCTTTTTTTTTTTTCTTTTTTTTCTTTTCTTTTCAATTTGTATTAATAATATTATTAATTGATTTCATTTTAAGATATCCATAAAAATATCTTTTAACAATTACATTATTTAGCAATGACACTTTGAACATATATGTTGAACTTAATTATAGTCCTTGGAAATATTTTCTCTTTCATTACACATTTGGAAGAATTTGTTTAATTAAACCTGAATAAAATTTACAGAGAGAAATTTATTGTTAACGATATATAAAAGAAAACGATAAAACAATATACATTTTGTGTTATAATTTTTTACTATATTTATTAATACTAATTTAATATATATGAACAAAATTAATTGATTAATTCGACATAAAACATTTAATAAATATTATACAATTATTGTATATATAAAAACTATTGCACTTTGCATTTGTTATACGATAAATCTTTTGATATTAAAATGAATTCATACTGAGTGAATTCAAGCTATGTTAAAAAACTATCTCATAAAATAGTATACATATATATATATATATATATGTATATATATTTTTTTTTTATTCTTTCTTTTTATCTTTAGTCGTATATAAAATATCTATAGATTTTAATGAAAAATTATATAAATCTTTCCTTTTCTTTTTTTTTTTTCTTTTTTTTTTTTTGGCCAATATATACATAATATTACACTTGTGCTCGGATTAATTTGTATTAATGTAGTATTACGGTATATAGTTTTACTATTTATAAAGACCATCCAGATTTGGTATTATTGGCGTTTATATTGGTTTACTTAATATGGACACAATGGAACTACAAATCAACCACCACATCAAGCTCGTGCATCATTGATCGTAGTTGGGACCTTCACTTCAATGCCATCTAATTCTTTTGTCATGACTATCTGACATCCTAATCTGGATCTATAAAGTAATGTATTTAACATTAGAAGGGAATAAATTGATATTGGCGATATTCAAATAATTTTTAAATTGACTGTAAAATTTCTTTAAGAGATATATTCAAGATCGATGTGTTATTTTAAATTTCAAATATGAAATACTTTCGATCGTTGAATTAAATTTACAAGAGAGACACATTGAAATGATTTCGATGAAATCATAAATATATGTAACATATGTAAATAGTAAAGATTTGTACTTCAAGAGTACACACACACCCACACACACACATATATATATATACATATACACATTTTTTCTTTTTTTTTTCTTTTTTTAATTAATAAAAATATCAGTAGAACATACATACGTGTCAGTTAAATCATATGCTAGATCAAGCATATCTAATTCTTCGTCTGTTGGTTTATCAGGTAGACTGTCATATACTTCCTTGGGAAAAATTAAATGACAAGTACTACAGGTCAATGTACCTTCGCAAGCACCTATATAAAAGATAATTTTTAAATTAATATATATTATTTTTGATAATAGTGTTATAAAAAAAAAAAAAGAAAAAAACAAACAAACAAACAAACAAACAAACGAACAAACAAAATAAGAAAAAAAATAATGCATTATAAATATCACCTACCATAACCATCCAAGTCAACTTCATTATTTACGACTATATCCAAAATCGTATCTCCTACTTTGCCTTTGGCCTTTATCCTTTGACCGCTGGCCCTAACGAACGTTATACTTACTCTAAAAAAAAAAAAAAAAAAAAAAAAAAAAGAAAAAAAAGATTAAAAAAAAAACGTCACAAAAATTAATACGAATGTTTCATCGAGTGAAAATAATTTCCCCACCCCCCCTCCGATACGACAACAATCTTTCATTATAACTTACTCCTGTTTTTCTGAAAGTGGTTGAGACGTTGACGACGACGACGACGACGACGACGTCCGTACGAACGAAATTGTTGGAATATTTTTTATAGATTTACGAACGGACCTCGTTGAATTTAATATTAATATTGATTTTGATAATTGATGAAATTTACGTACTAACGCCATTCCTTGGATCAACTTATAAAACTTTAACGAAATTGTATATAAATATATATATATGTTTTTTTTTTTCTTTTTAAATTAGAATCAATTCGATCTAAAATTATTTTTAAATTCGTTGTAACGTTCCTGACTTGCAACTATAGATAATTTCAGTCATACTGTCTGTTAAAGATACAACGAATACGTCGACAAGGTTATGAAACACCCCACCATCGTTCATGACATATCACAGATAACTGCAATACCCAAGATTATAAAACAAAATCTAGGCTCACGAGTAAAATCGAAACAAATGATGAACTTTCATCGAGCATTGCCAATCTTAAAACAATAAATTTCCTATCGATCGAATGACCAATGTTTTTCTTTTATTTTTCTTTTTCTTTTTTTTTTTTTGTTCTTTCTTTATCTAAGAAAAATATTTGTTTTATCAAATTTTATTATTATTCCATTAATTATGATTTATTGTCAATTAATTAATACGATAATTTTGATCGAGAGATCCAAAAAAAAGAAAAAAAAAAAAAAAAAAAAAAAAAAAAAAAGAAAAAAAAAATTCGAACAACTTTAAAAAAGAATTGTTTAATAAACGATTTGTTACGTTATGAAAACAATTCCTAACGTGATATTTGTATAGTGAGCAAAAAAAGTGCGTACTACGAACTCAATAAACATCGTCAATAATGTAAATAATAATAAATGGTTAGAGGTGAACAATGTATTCTGATGAATGATAAATTAGTCTATCACGTAACTTGGACGTACGAACATCGTGATACTTTTAATAATTATTTCATTCGTTTAATTATTTTATATCATATAAAATTATAAACTTGTTTATACACATATATACGTATAATACACTCCGTGTACAAAAGTGTAATTAATTTAAACGCTTGGTAATGACATCTTCATAATCGATCAAAAACATCAAGCATTTAAATGGATCTATTATGTATACACACACACACACATACATATATATATATATTTTAATTATTCGACAATCATTTGATTATATAAATTTTTTTACACGAAAATGTAAAATAACATAATCAACAAAAATTGAAAAAGCATATACAGATAGTATGAAATACAAAATTTTATTATTTCCAATAAATGACAAAATAACTTTGTAAATAGAATAAGAATGTACAGTTATTTTTTTATATATAAAAACGAAAAAAAAAAAAGAAAAAAAGAAAAGACAGAAGGAACAAATTTTCTATGTATATAACAATGTAATAAGATGAACTGTTGTTCTTTCTTTGAATATCTTTTTATAAAAAAAAAAAAAAAAAAAAAAAAAAAAAAGATTATTTTGTTAAATTAATAATAAGTCTCAGAATCTGTATCTTCTTCGAATGGATTAGGTGTCCCTTCGCGAGATATATCAGCTTCAATTTCATCTTCACTTTCAGCTTTCTTTTTTTCTTTGTTATCCAAGGCATATCGTCTCCATGGCAATCTATAATCAACAATATTTATTTACAAGATGCTTAGATAATATATATACACACACACACACACACACACACATATATATATATATATATATAATATATTTTTGTAAATACCTTTTTCTCTCATTATAACAATCTTCAATGAATGTATGCGATACAATTTTACAATGATTCTTTAATTGTTGATATTTTGGAGTATTCTTAAAGGCACAAATCAAATGAGTACATACATTATTAGAAGTATCTGGATTAGCAATATATCTGGCACCCATTTTAAGTGCTTTCCTTCTGACTTCATCTCTTTGTGGATTAACATATCCGCTAAGAGAAAAACTAATATCTTGAAAGAGTTGTGAAAATAATTTCTTTGATTTATTCTTTTTAACATTAATGGGAGAAGGAAGTGGTTTAGGCTGTGGCAAACGTCCACACGTTGAACACGTCCTGTCTTCTGATTCTTTACAACATTTTGGACATTCTTTTTTAATTTTTTTATTTTCATCTTTCTCCTCAATAGTCAAAGAACGTTTTCTTGACTCAACGTTATTATAATTATCATTTTTTAAATGATTTTTATCTTTCTTTTGAATCGGAGATGGCACTATATCACCAAATGGAGTACGTTTAACATTTTCATTTTGTTTATCCTTTATTCCTGTAGCATTAGCTATTGCTATATCAGTAGTGAATGTATTTTTATTTACATTATTATTAGAAACTTTGTTTTGATTTCCAAATACTTCATCACTTTTTCCGGCTTCCAATTTTTCTAACAAGGGCCTTCTCATTGGTTCCTTCTCATCTTCTTGGCGTTTAGTAAAAGCTGACATACCACTTTCTTTTACCTTTTTAAGTAAATCATTTTTAGGATCTACTTTTGTTCTCTTATTGGCTATCATCTTGAGATATTTCTCTTTAAATTCGTCTATCTCTGGTTTCTCATTGTTTTCATCTTTTTGTTTTAATTTAAAACGACCAAAAACATCAAGACCTAAATCCACTGATACTTCTGTCTTTGCTATGAAGAACATTAGACCAAACAATTCCTTTAAGTTTGCAGATTGCATACATGTAACTTTAATCCGATCAAATTTTATCTTCAATATATCAGGATTTAAATCTCTTTTTGCAAATAATTGAACTTGATCTTTAAATTTACCATTAGCAGCCTCATCGTTTGTCATAAACTGATGTTGTACGATAGGTATCCAGGTGTCAGGTTCTAATGACGTTGATGCAGTGACAATAACAATGCAAGAACGATAATTACCAATATCAACACCTGTTATTATAGAAGGTTCAGTCAATTGAAAAATAACAGTTGCTAACATCTCTCCAGGCTTAGCGCATCTCCATGATGTATTTTTACGATGATCCAATAAATTAGTAGCGGGATAAGAAGGATGTTCCGAGGAACAATTTATTACTTTTTCAAATTTAATAATCATTTTGAAAATATTAATTTTAACTCTTAAAATCTCATGATTTTCTTCTTTCTCTTATTTTTAATATTGTATAATGTTCATATATATATATATATATATATCGTATAAGATATACTTTCATATAAATATTATCTTCTTGTTTACTCAATATCTATCGTAGGAAGATAAGATAATATAAAAATAGTAAATACGATGTTTAGAAACATTTAATTCATTCGTTATGCTGCCAAACGTGAAACGAACATAACCTTACTTTGGAGCCATTTGTTTCTTTTTTCATGTAAATTCAAGAAAGATGATAGATATAAATGACGGAAAAAAAAATCAAAAAAAAAAAAAAAAAAAGAAAACAGGAACTTTTTCTCGTATCTAACTAAAAAAATCGTACAATTACAAATCACTTAGAAATTATTTACACTGAGTAATCACAATTGGTTACATTTCCCGCGTAATATTTTTAAATCGAGTGCTAAATTATATATTTATTAATTTTATTCGTACATGCAAACTCGATGCCATACATTCGAGAGATCATACATAAATATCATTTATTGTTGACACACGATTATTCAAAAATCTAAATGCATCTAATTCAAATATACGCACAAATTCTATAACGCGTACTATATATTTGATTCTATATTTTGTAATTTTTACGATAGTGGTAGCAATGCGGCGATTCGCCATGTTTTTTTTTCATTTCAATGCGCGTGTGTTATATTTTAAACGCGGAAATTCACAATTCATTTAATGGACAACAATATTTCAGTATATATATATATATATGTAATTATTAATATTATATCAAAAGTTACTAACTATCGAATTAATAAATTATAAAGATTTCGTATTTTAACTATGTTTCGAATTATTCTTACG